ACTGTCAGAGCCAGCACTCACAACAGTGGAGAGTGTGTTCTGCCCAGGGTTTAGGACTCCAGGTGGGGCACCAGCAGCCTGGCTTTCCTCTTGGGATCCTTGCAGTGGCCCTGTGAAGCAGCCTGACTGGGGACAGCAGTTCCACTTCCCAGGAGGGGAAACAGGAAGTGAGGCCCCTTGGTCAACAGAGGAGCTCAGTGCCTCCAACTGCAAATCTAGTTCCCTTTGCTTCTCCCTGGAGCTCTCCAGGTTCAGGGCAGAGCCCAAGGGGTAAGAATACCCGGCCTCCTTCGGAGATGGCAACCAGGACACAGGCGAGTGGCCACTGCTCCCAGATACATCACCTGACCAGCCAGCTTAGTCTTTGTCACCAGATGCCCACTCCTGCGTGTGGGGATGTGGTTCATGAGTTCTGGGAATTCCCAGGCCCCCGGCAGCTCTCCCTAGAGAAATCCGGGGGCTGTTTCCCCTCCACTCCCCGGGCCTTGCCCTTCATAGCCTAGAGTGGGTTCTGGGTCACTACTGGTAAAAACATGGGGTTTCGTTCAGCTCAGGAGACGTTTCTGGAGTCTACTAACATCTTCACCCTGCAGGCCCAGGAAGTGCAGCACATGGGGCAGGGAATGAGCTTGCTGGGCTGAGGCTGGACAGGGTGAGTGGCGGTCCGCCTGGCAGCAGTACAGAGCTGACGTGCTGAGTCGGCGTGTTTCCTAAGGCCAGACTGGATTTCAGCTTGTACCTAGAAGGCAAGGACCAGGCCACCTTCGTCTTTATTCCCGTTCCCAGCCAGGGACCTCCCACTCAGGAGAAAGCGTAGGAATAAATATCTGCACAGAACAGCCCTGCAGAAGAGGGGCTGTTGCTCCTAGCTGGGAAGCCCTGGGGAGGCTGGCTGGGGCAGGCTGAGCGGGAAATCTGAGCTGTGACCAGTGGGCGTGGCCAGGGTCTCTGTCGTGGCTAGAGCTGAGGTCTAGAGGGTCTGATGGGAAAGGCAGGGGCTCCATCCCAAAGTCACCTCTCCAGCAGGCTGCAGTGGCCTAGCATTTGCAGACTCTAGGAGTAGGTCCTGATCCATGTCCCTGGCCACTGGCCTGAGGCCATATGCAGAGTTCCCACAGAGCTTTTCACCTGGGCGGGGCTGTGCCAGTATAGGTGGCCCAGTCCAGGGATGGGGCTGGATGTCAAGAGAACAGAAGTCGGCGGGCTGGAGGACAGTTGGTCCCAGCGCAGCAGTTTCACCCTGGAATAATGTGTTCATGTGGCACTTTGAACTTAGCCATTTTGCAGCTTTTTGCAGACATTTTTGAGGGCACACAGGCGGCCAGGCTTCCAACTGGCCGTGCAGTGTTCTTTCATGGGGTAGCTGGAGCTGCTAGGAGACGCTGGGCAGGACCTTGCCACTGGGCCGTGGAGGGCACAGGGTAGCTGCAGGGCCTGGGTGTGGCACACCATGGGAGTCTACATGGGGAGGGCTCTCGAGGGATGGGGCTTGGGCAGAACACACATTGCCCATTGTGGCCGCCACATTCCTTCCTTACAGGTGAGGCCCGCCGCCAGCTGGGGCAAACAGTGGGTGGTTCTTGGCCTTCTCTCACTGTGGCTGAAATGGCTGAGTTTTGAGTCAACAGCGTTCTCAAGGTGACACTGGCTTTGAGGCCAAGGAGCAGGTATATTTGAAGAATATGGGGGGCCCAGTGGCATTCTCTGGTTTGCCTGTGACGAGATTCACCAGCCCTTCCTCGTAGATTCCCCCTGCATCATAGCGGAAAGGGCCCAGTTAGTCCAGATAGCCCTGAACACCCTGACTTGGCAGCCAGGCTGGCCGCAGCCCAGAGGTGGGAGAATTGCCTGGCGTTGTGATGCCCACATGGATGGGGTCTGCCCCTGTATTGCCTGTCTGACCTCAGACCCTTCCAGGTCACAGTGAAGCAAAAGCCACACATCATTGAAAGGTCCAGCTAATGGGTCCCCCAGTGCCCTTGCCTGGCTGTGGCTAATGCATAATGTGGCTGACTTTGGACGGCTGTGACAAAATGCCTTCATCTGGGGAAACCTACAAACTGCAGGAATACATTTCTCTTAGAAGCTGGGAAGTCCACGATCCAGGTGCCAGTTGGCTTGGGTCTCGTGAGGGCCCGCTCTTCTTAGTTGGCACTTTCTCATGTTCTTACCTGGTGGGAGAGGCACCTGCGCCCCTCTCCAGTCACTGTTATGAGCCCTAGTCCTGTCCATGAAGGCCCCTGGCATGACTTCATTGCCTCCCAGAGGCCCCACCTCTTCATACTTTTGCACTGAGCCTTAGCGTTCAACATAGGAATTGGGAGGAGGCACCAATTTAGACCATAGCACCACGATAAGTGCCCAGACCCGCACAGTCATAGTGGCTCAAGATAGGCACCCCTTGCCACCTGCACCTTATACCGGAGGAGGCCAGTGGGAAGCCCCGAGCAGGACCAAGAAGGTGAGCACAGTTGAGTGCGCGGGCTCTGCTCCACTCCATCCACCTGAGAGGCCACAGAAATGCTCACAGCCTTTCACATGACAGCTCGCAGAAAACACGGGCATGCGTTTGGGCGTCAGGCACACTGGTCTCAACAGAGGTGGCTGGCACCCAAGGCAGTTGGCCTTAGTGCCCACTCAGTCACCCACCTAGAACCGGTTCACAGCACATCATTGGGCTGCTCTGGCCTCGGCTGGACATGGCTGTTTATTCTTACACACCATGGATTCTATATAGGCCGAGAAACAGGCTGCTCAGCCGGCGTCGGGAGAGGTGGGCCTGGCTCCCTGGGCCCCTCCTGGCCTCTCCCTAGGCCTTCTCTATCAGGGCAGCCTGGCTGAGCAGAGCCTGGGACACACGGCTGAGGCCACCCAGGCTGAGCCATCTCGCCCGTTTTGTGCCCCCTGCTCAGTTCTCCTGTCCTGGCTCAGGTCTAGGCCAGTCAAGAGGGTGGCTGAGAAGCAGGAAGAGCCTCAGAGACCCTTTCCTCAAAACCCTACCTCACACTTGGGAGCTGCTGGCCCGTCACCCAGCCCTGGCGGGGGCAGGCAAGAATCCCGGGGCTATTGTGCAGGGGTCGGTGTTCCCCACCCTCTCCCATGGTGGGGAGAGCATGCTCTGTGCACACCCCGGGCTGCGCTGAATCTCACCATGGCCCGGAGGGCTGACCTGTGGCTCCATGGGGGCAGCTGCAGGGAAGGGGCTCCCCAGCGGCCTGGGCCAGCATCTCCAGTCTCACAAGTACCCTGCACAGCTCCTCCCAGTCCCTGTGCACAGCTCCTCCCAGCACCTCAGCCTTCAGCTTTCTCAGTTAATCAAAAGATTCCAAGAAAAGCAAATCCATCAGAACGGCTTCCTCCATGGAGTGTTCAGGAACAATGTGCGTGCCCACGACAGACACATACCCCTTCCTCCAGAGACAGTGCCTTTTATTTCCCGGTTGCTGAGGCTGGTCTGACAGCTTGCTGGCGGTGACAGCCGGTGGTCACCTGTATTTCAAAGAGATACGCAAACACTGCAGCCTTTGAAAGGATCGAGCCCTCGGGACAGGTCTGTGGTCTTGGCCGTGGCCAGCGTGTGCCGAGGGAGGCGGGGGGTGCTCCAGGGCCTCACTTTGCTCCCCCGGTCCCCACCCTTTGCAGGGAAGAAACCAAAGGCTGGAATCGCCCCCGCCCCCTGTGTGCAGCTCTCCGCGTGCTCCCCTCTGGGATGTGACCTCCATGCGGCAGTCCTGTTGGGGATATCCAGGGCTGGGCCGCGAGTGCCCCTCACTGACCCAGCCTCCGTCTTGTCTGGCTGGACGATGGCATGTGCATGATTCTGAGGAGAAGGCTGGGTTTTGTGCTTTGCCCTGGGAGCAGGCTTTGAACCACGCACCCTACCCCCATTGCTGTCAGGTGACTCCAAACAGACCCAGCCTGCGTATCCTTGAATTCTTGTTCGTGCTTTACCTGACGCTGGGCCAGGCCCCAGGCCACCTCCTGCCCCAGGCCAGGCCCCACACTCAGGGAGCACTTGGTGGGCAAAAAAGCTTTTGTGCAGCCTACTCACTCTTTAGGGCCTCAAAGGGCCCAGCAAGGCAGGCAAGGACCGTCACGCATCTCTTATAGAAGAGGCCCCCAGCTGGTAAGCACCAGAACCTGGACCCTGACCCTTGCTCAGCAGACCAGATCCCCCCCAGTCCCCAGCACCTGTGGAGGGCACTGGGCTACTCCCTTCTAGAGACTCGGCGTCTCCAGGCGAGCCTAGAACTCATGTTTCCACCAGCTACCCGCATGGTTCTGTTTCACACCGGGTTCAGGACCAGCTCCGCCCCTTCCACCCACGTCTCCCTCTCGGGTTGCGGAGGGTGGGTAGAGCAGGCGTCGTGTCACCCTGTATGTAGCAGTACAGCCTGGCCACATCTCCTCTGAGGCAGGTCCCTTTTCACGGGAGCATTGCAGTGCGTCAGCACATTCATGTGTTTGCAGAGGTCCCATCCGAAAAGCACCCTTGATTTCACCACCGTTGTGGGGTGGGTTACCCTTCGTTTCCATCTAACAGTAAGCTGATGAGTGTTTACATGCATCTTGGAATGTTTTCTTAAGATAAAAATCCGAGTAGTGAAATCACCTGATCAAGGAATTGGACACATTTTTCCTAGGTTGCCCTTCAGAGGGGCTGTGCTATTTACCTACTAACTCGGCAAAGCACACACATGTGATGCATTCCATTTCAGCCTTCCCAGAACTGGGCCTGCATCACACGTGTGTGCTTTGCCGAGTTAGTAGGTGAATAGTGGAACTTCGCCTGTCTTCATGAGCACAGCGTGTGCACGGGCCAGAGGTGTGTCTTCATGAGTACGTTGCCAATAGCCCCTGTCCTTGCCCGGATGGTAGGAGCCCGGGACTTGAGTGGTCTCACCACAGCCTGGTTTTGGTGGTCACTTTGTGGGGTGTGCTATCCTGGGGCTCCGGGAGGGGAGTAGCCCTTAGTAACCTGTATGTCTGCCCCTCCACAGAACTGTCAGGCCTTCAGCAGCCTTAGCTGCTTGAGCGCAGGGACAGAGGACTGCGGCCCCCAGAACCCCTTCGCCTGCCACGTCAGCACCAGCAGGGCCTGGACTGCCCTGCTCTCAGCCTCCGGCCCAGGGGGCAGGACCCCTGCTGGGACCCCAGTCCCAGAGCCTCTTCCCCCTTCCTTCGACGACCACCTCACCTGCCAGGAGGACCTGTCCTGTGAGGAGTCAGATGGCTGCGCCCTGGATGAGGATTGCGGCAGGAGAGTGGAGCCGGCCACAGCCTGGAGGGACCACGGGGTCCCTGGGAACAGCCTCTGCTCCCTGGACGGCGAGCTGGACATCGAGCAGATAGAGAAGAACTGAGGGGTGCAGGCCCAGGTAGGGCTGGGTGTGCTGGAATCCACAGCCCTCCCTCTGGGCACTAGGTGGGCCCTCGAAGGGGAGCCCAACTCTTGGGCCTGATGAAAGCTTCCTGAGCGGTGTTGGGTCCCAGAGAGGGAGCTCACCCGCTGCCTGGGGGAGAGCCTGGCCTGGCCACACCACAGCCGGGTGTTAGCTTCTCGCTGGCTCCCCGAGCGTGGCAGCCACCAGGTCCTCGGAACTACCGCAGCCCAGGGAGCAGCTTTGGAGTCTGGGTCTTTTCTGCCTTTTTCCTAATGGGATGTTGGGCAGTCTGTTGTTCCCAGCAGAGCTGGGTGCCGCTCTGGATCCCCCTGGTGGGGGCGGTCAGGGAGGGCCTGAGGTGGGGGCTGGGGGCCATCTGCTGTGCCAGGGTCCTTCATGGCCTCGCTCAGGTTCACTTTTGGGGAGTTGGCCCCACAGCTTCTTTCACTCAGTTCTATTCCGTGCCTTCTCTCCCGGGGCTCCCTGCTTCAGGCTTGGGAAGGTTCGGGAGATGCTTCTTTCTGTAACACCAGAACCATTTGGCCTTAATTCCAAGTGTGAGAGACAGAATCCGGGGGTACTGGACTGGCCCCCCCCAGAGGGTGAGCCTGTGTCCAGAGTCTCAGGCCCAAGGAGCAGCTTGGAGGGTGCTTGTTAGGGGCCTTCCCCGCTGGGTGGAAATTGGGTGGATCTGTTGGCTGAAAAGACAGACTCACTGTGCCTCCTGCAGCTGGAGAGCCGGGCCCTGTGGTTCCGCCACCGTTGAGGCAGGTTAGCAGATGGCAGCCCTTCTCTGTGGCTAGCTGGTCACTGAGTGATCAACGTGGTTGATTCTGGTGAGGGTAGGGATGACGTGATACCAGGGGGTATCTCCTAAAAATGACCTTGGGAGACAGGAGCTGCGAGCGGGTGCACAGGAGTGGGGGGCATCCACTGGCTGCTCGCAGGGGCCCCTGCAGGATTCCCAGCACCTCCCATTTGTTCTTGAGGACTGATGGCTGTAACCAGGGTGTACCACCCACCCCAAGACAAGCCCACACACTTGTCAGCTTAGGGGGAGCCCAGTCTGAAGGCTGTGTCTCTGCCGTAGGCCCAGCCATGGGCACAAAGCTGGATTCATACTCCCTGCCCCACCCCTCTCCCGTCCTGGCTCCCTACCCGGGGCCTCCAAGGAGCCTGGGCCCCTGAGGGTTTGCTCTTGGGCAGCTCCTCTCCCCTGCCATGCAGACACCATCACATGGGAATCTGGCTTTTAGCGAACTCGGCGTCTTCCACAGACAATAGCAATTGGGCTGGCTTAGGAACAAGTGGCTCATTTTCCCATAAGGCTAAAAATGATTGGCGCGCTCCTTGCGTTGGCTGACACGCGGTAAAAGCACTTTTGTAGTCCTTTGCTTCTGCTCCTCTTCCGTGGACGAGTGAATGCCTCGCTTCTGCAGGTTGGGTCTAGGTGGTTCTCACCTTCTTTCTCCTAAAGAGAAAGATGCTTTTTGGGAAACTGTTTAAACCTTCTTTTTTAACTACATCAAAAGGGTGGTGGTTCAAATTCCAATATATGGGTGGCATTTCTTAAAAATCAGCTGTAAGAAGCTGGCAGAAAGCCCCCAGCCCTGCAGCCCTGAGAGATGGTGTTGCCAGCTCAGGGTGGGTGGCACGTGGGGTATGTCAGGCACTGGGCAGGTCCCAGAGTGGGGGAACAGCTTGCCTCCAGTGGCCATAACTCCTGCCAGAGGCACATCTACTTGTGACCCCGGACAGCCAAACCCAAAGCTGGGGGCTCTGAGCAGACAGAGACCTCGTGCCCTGTCCCTGCCTAGCGGTCATGGAGACCATGTCCTCTTAGAGCAAGTGTGGAGGAGGCCGGGCAGTTGTTGGGTGAATGTGGAGGGCACAATACCATGCCGTGCCCCCAGAGCACCACTGGGCACAGGAGGTCCTGGCACCACACTCCTGTGTGGCCACTGAGGACACACAGCCTCTAAAGCAGGTTTTCCTGTGGAAGGCAGAGACAGTAAGGGAGGCAGGCGGTGCCAGCTGAGGCTGAGATGTGCAGCAGCCCCCAGCTCCCTTTGCTTAGGGCTGGGATGGGAGGCACAGGGTGTTAAGTGTGTGTTGTGGAGCTAGGGGCTAAGTGACCTGCCCTCAAACCCTGCCTGCCACCTCCCCACTCAGGCCTGGTGGCAGGGTGGGACAAGCCATGGAGCTGACCAAGTCACAGCCACCTCCCTGCCTCCCTCAAAGCTGGTCCCATCCACCAGCAAGCTCAGCCCCAGGGCACTTAGGCAGAAATGACCCAGCCTCCTCAGACCCCACCTGCCTGTCCTGTGCCCACCACAGCTCCTAGCCCAAGCCTATCACGCAGCAGTCAGGGGAGAAAATGGCAGCTGTCCCTTCTGCTTAGAGAAAGAAATGGCCTTCAGCTGCTTTCATATTTGTCTTTTGACTGGAGAGAGTGGACCCCATCTATAGTTGCCACCCTATCATCCAAGCCACCACACTGCCTGGAGCAGCCTGTTCCTGCACCCCACCCTGCTGGCCCCAGGGCTTCTGGTCTCAGAGCTCTGGGAGAGGCTCGCCCAGGAGATGGTCCCCCCCCCCGCCATTGGTGTCCCCACAGGCAGTAGACAGCTCACCCCCACCAGCATGATGGCCCCAGCGGGGGGCAGCAGCAGAAGCCTCACTTTTGCCCACGAGCCCTGCCTCTGAGGGGAGACTGAGGAAGGGCAGGGCCAGGAACAAGCCTTGCCAGGCCACCTCCCTGCTCTTGGGGCCCTGAAGAGTGGGCTAAGCCTGCAGGAAAGCTGGGTGGGAGGAGGGGCTTTGCGTCACACGCAACCCATTCATTGTAAAGCCACCCAACTGCCCGAGGCCGCCGTCCACCTGTGGGGCCCAGGACCGGGCCACACCCTCTTGCCTTACTCTCAGTGGAGGCCGGAGCTGCCCTGGGCCATGGGCCCACAGGGAGCTTGTTCTGACCAGACGTACAGATTTTCATTCTCAGAAAGCCTTACTTTTGAACAGATTTTTTTAGCCAGTTTTGTGAATTTGTACACTGAAAGAAAACTTAAAGGGGAAGTCCTGTCTGAGCAAGCTTCCCCAGCTGCGGAACCCCTGGCCCCCTGCTGTGGGCTCAGACTTGGTGTCACGCCCACTGCACCCCTGTTTCCACTGCTGTGCCGTCTGTGGCTACGGAGGTGGTCCTTGAATCATGGCCACTTCAGATGCCGGCCGGCCGGCAGGGAGGCAGCAGGCTGGCTGCGCACCGGGGCTCAGGCGCCTGGCCCCACACTGGCAATGATGCCGCACCTTGCCATGCCCACACTGTTGGTCAAACCCCTTTGTCATGCCTCTTTAAAGAGAAAAGAAGAGAAAGATTTTTTTTTTTTTAATGGCAGACCGAATGGAGATCTTTTAGCCTAGGTAGGATAGTCTGACCTTCTAGCATAGTCTTTTTGGCAAATGATTTGTGTTTTCCCACGTGGGGAAGCTGTCCTGGGGGGTCGGGTGACGGATAGCACAGAGGCTGTCTCTGGGGGTGCAGGAGCTTCCCGAGCTGGACGGTGTCGGTGTTGCAGAGCTTCAGGAAGTGTGGTGGGCAGAAAGCGGAGACCCGGGGTCCAGGGTCTGCCACCCCCTCGGCCTGGCCTCCCCGCACAGGCCGTGGCTTGCACTCCAGCCGCTCTAGTCTCTCAGGAATTTGCTTGTTACTTTTACTGTGTAAATAAAGCTTCCTGGTTCAGTCCCCACGTGTCTGGTGCCAGCTGTGTGGTTTCTGTTGGGTGTGGTGAACTGGCAGGTCCCCCCCTGCCCGAGGGATCATTAGCTTTGGGCTGGGAGGGACACGATTGGACCCTCTGTCCCCTCCAGGCCTCGGGGTCTGAATCGGTAAAATGGGGCTAGCAGACCCCACAGAGCTGTGGAGAGGCTCAGGTGCAGGATGGTGTGGGAGCAGCTGGGGAAAGGGGGAAGGGGGAAGGCTGACTGTAGCCACAGCTACATCATGGGAGCTCTTCCAGGGCTGAGCTGTTCTGGCTCCAGCTGGGACCCCCAAGACAGCAGCGGGGAGACACTCCTTATGTAATTTGAGTTAGGAGCAGTGGAGGAGTCTGCCCTTTTGAGCACATCAGCTCAGCCTTCGACAGTGCTGGGAGGCAAGGCCGAACTGCAGGGTGCTGAGCCATGCTCAGCCTGGCCTAGAGCCCTGAGGGGCCTGGGATGGTCCCTACCACCCACCCACCGGGGTAGCGGAGGAGGCGGCGCACAAAGCACTCCAGGCTTCTGACCCCACAGCAGGCAGCACAGTGCGAACTTCTGCTGCATGAATTGCGGGGGCCCCAGAAGCACGAAGCCCAGCCCAGCATGGCTCACTGTCCCTGTGCGTGGCCCTCTGCTTTCCCTGACTCGGGAGTTGGGGTGCTTGCAGCCTGGAGGGCAGGCGTGGAGAGGTTCGGTTTCTGTAACTCAACACTTGCCCACATGATCTGCCCGTGGAAGCCTGGCCTAGAACACTTGTGAGGCCAGGGCAGCCCCTCTGGGAATCTTGCTCTCCTCTTTTGATTTGCTTTTCCTTTTAGCAAGATCCTTTAAAAAAAAAAAAGGTTTATGGACACTGAACTCAAGAAACAGGGGAAGCAGGGCCACTGGGAGAGGTGAGCCCCTCATCCTCACTGCTGTCCCCGCGGCCCTGCTGCACCCAAGGCCCAGGGACTCACTGATCCAAGGCTGGACGCATCGACTTCCCCAGCCCACCCTCACCCCTGCCTTGTATCTGATGGATGAGGCAGGGCAGAGGCCGGCAGGGGGCTTCTACCAAGCATAGTGCCCCCACCTGAGGGTAGGGCGCAGAGTGGCCCTGGAGGAACCTCTGGCCCTTGTCAGCCCCTTGCCACCCCCCATCCCCAGATGAGGTCCCTGGCTGGGTGGCAGCTCCATTCTGCCCTGCGTGGAGCCTGGCCGTAGGCCTCACCCCAGTGCAGTGCCCAGGCCAGGTACAGGTGCTTCTGACATGGGACACGCATAGAGTCTCCTTATCTGCACGGTGAGCATAACCCTGTGGGCTTACAAGAGAATGTGAACCCCGTGGCCACCCTGGATGGCCACTCTGTCCAGTGTGCAGGAAGAGGGCCGGAGGAAAGAAGGCCAGGAGGAAATGCACAGAGACAGCAGTGCTCAGGCTCCCAGGTGACTGGGTTTCTTTCTGTAGACTTTTAAATATCCTGTAATAACATGCTGCTTTTATAATGTTAAAAAAAAAAAAAAACCCAAAAAAAAAAATCAGAACTGAATGCAGGCCACGCAGTGTGGACACTGCCTACACCAGGACAGTTCTGAGGGGCAGCTGGAGCTACTGGCACCACTTTGGGTCAGGAGGCGGACTCCAGACCACCTACCTGAGAGCTGTGCCACACTCGTCCGTCCCACCCTATGTCCTCACCTCTGCCCTGAGTGAACATACAGGAGCCTTGCCAGCTGCTGACCAGCCTCCCTGAGAGGGGCAGGAACCACCACCCAGCAGGACAGGCCCAGGATGGTGGCACCAGGTGAGGCCCCAGCCTTTCCGAGGGCTCAAGCTGAATGGAAGGAGGAAAGAACTGAAGTAAGCTGGCCCAGGGGCGCTCACATCTGACGTGGAGGCCTCTGCCTCACTTGGCCCAGTTCCCAGCCTCATGTCAGCGAGATGAGGACATGGACATTCCCTCATCGTCCCAGAGCGCTTTTTTTTTTTTTTTTTTTTGAGACCAAGTGTCACTCTGTTGCTCAGGCTGGAGTGCGGTGGTGCAGTCTTGGCTCACTGCAACCTCTGCCTCTTGGGTTTAGGCGATTCTCCTGCCTCAGCTTGTGAGTAGCTGGGATTACAGGCGCCCGCCACCATGCCTGGCTAACTTTTTTTGTGTTTTTTTAGTAGAGACAGGATTTTGCCATTTGGCCAGGCTGGTCTCGAACTCCTGACCTCAAGTGATCCGCCTTCCTCAGCCTCCCAAAGTGCTGGGATTACAGAAGAGAGCCACTGTGCCCGGCCCACAACTGAGTCTTGACAGTCATTTGAGGAAGTGGCATTCGCTGGCCTTGGTCCTCTGCCTGGCACCACATGCCATCTTCTGTGGTTGGGGTTTGGTTGGGATGGGGACTGTGCCCCAGTTCCTGGTCCACCTGGTCTCTTTGCCAGTCTGAGTCCTGGGGTTGCTGAGCAGGTAGGGAGAAGTCTGGGGGGGGGCATTCTGCCACCTGCCAAGTAGCTGCGATGGGAAGAGATGGGGTTCCTGTGACGGCGCTTGGACCCTAGGCTCAGCCAGGCCTGGGCTTTTAAGTCCTGAGACCGCCAGATCTCTTGTTGGACTGAGCCACTTTGAGTGTTCGTAAGGGACACACTGAGCTAGGCTCCGTACTGTGTGGGCCCTAGAGCTGGAAGGTGTGAGGGTGGGTGAGGCCCCAGAGAGGAGTGCTGCTCTCTCTGCCCGCCCCTCCGCCCCCTACCGTGCTACTATTTGGTGGTTGGGCCTGGCAGCTCGGGAGCCTGGGAGGCGTGGCTGGGCCTAGGCTGTGGCTCACTTGGGGCCTTGGTGGGAAAGACCCTTGGGAGCCCCCCTGGCCTGTGGCCCTGGGTGTTGAGAGTCTTTGCACAGCAGTTCATACACGTGCCTAACACAGGGTCTTAGCCCACTGCCAGCCCCAATCCACAGCTTCACAGGCGGCTGGCGACTCCACACCGTCTCTGCCAGGGCCCGGGCCCCTCCACATGCTGGAAGTGGCCAGACTGCTGGAAGGACCCTCACTTCTGGGCAGCACCGACCCCCGGCAAGCATCAGGGCATGCCTCATCAGCTCCAGCCAGGGGACAGGGCACCCTGTTGGGTCAGGAAGTGCCTGCTAAGGAAGTGAATCCCCGTAGTTTGTAGACAGGGTAAAAGACTTAGGGGTTACATGACCACCACCGGTGGGGCTGGACCTCACCCCTCAGAAGATCCCATCTCTAGAACAAGGACATCACACCCCGAGGGAGGATTGCTCCAGGCAAGCGTGGGAAGCAGCACTGCAGAAGGCGGAAGGCGCTCAGAAGGGCCTGGGAGGCAGGGCTGGACCTTCCTGCCGGTCGCAGCCGGCACTAACTGTTGGCCCTCAGCAAGTCCCTAGCTCACTGCACCCCAGGCTCTAGACCTGTGCAGTGGGAAGAATGACAGCACCTGCTTCACTGAGCCCACCGCAGCCCAGAGGGTGGCATGCTCCCTGCCCAGACAGAGCAGGGGTCTGCACCCCCAGGGGTTGTCCCTCTGGGCACCCCACTCCTGGGCAGCAACTAGAAAGAGGAGGCCTCAGCTTGAACGTCCTCCAGAGGGGTCGCTGTCTTGGCTGGAAGTTTCCCCATGAAACATAAAAGGAGACAAAAACTAAAGACCCACAAATGAACCCAACAGCATGCATAGCCCCTCCAGGCCGCCACTGAACTGCAGCCGCCACCTGATGTCCCATGAGGTCTTCTAAGGAGCTGCAATTGGGGACTCCATTGAGGGGCCAGCCATCTGTATGTTCTCAACGAAGGGGCCAAATGGCCCTCCCTCAGTTCCAGTAACACTGGCCCGGCTGGTGGCCTCTCATCTTGATGAAAAGACTCAGTCACCATTACCCCTGATTCTGACTTAACAGTGGCCGGCCTTCCTAAAGCTGCCCTCGCCCCTGCTCGGGTCCCACACTTTCTCATCATCCTCCTTCATGTCATGGAAATCCTGTTACAGGGACCCCTGGCTTTGCTCAGAAGCAGCGGTCTCCCAGGGGTTAGCAGTAGCTTTTGAACTGACTTGGGGAGAATTGGAGCAATCAAGTTATCGGTTCAGCTGACGGATTCTGAAACCTGAAACTTACTCCCAGGGGCCCTGTGGGAAGGCCGCTCGCTGTGCCCTTGGTCAGGAAAGCAAAGCTCATCACCACCCACCACTGGGCTGCAGGCCGCTCCATTAGGGAGGGCAGTGCCAAAGTCTGCCCTAGACTGCCTTGTTCCAGATGGGGACAACAACAGCTCACTGGCCCCTCTGGGCCTCAGTTTCCCCATCTGCTAAGTGAAGGGGTTGGAGCAGGCGAAGTATGTCAGGACCCTTGTCCCTTGCCCCTCTGATATTCAGTGACTCAAGCTTAAGGCAGGACAGGGACAGTGGCCCAGACCCTGTTGGTGGCCTCCCCCATCCGGTTCTTCCTAGTAGTCAAAGCCCGAGTCAGAGGCTGCTGGTCAAGGCAGAGTTTGTTGAACTGTTAATTTCCCCCTGCACATGCCGGGCATGACACCTTCAAGTCCGTCCAGCAGTGGCTCCAGAAAGTACCCTGTATGCCTTGGACACAGGCTGCAGTTCTTGCTGTGTGGCACGGAGCCTCCCCAGTGCCCTCAGGAGCTGCCCCTGGTCCCTGTCTGCAAAGGTGACTGGGGGGATAGAAAGCAGCGGGCTGGCGCTGTTTTGGGGGTGGGATGGTGGGTAGTGTGCTTGGGCAGTCGCAGGGAGGCTGACGTGGTTCTGGGCTGCGAGATCTGTGCACAGGAGGCCCCTGGTTTATTCCAGGCTCTTCACTTAAATGCAGAGATCTGAGGAGGAGGCAGTGGGCGAGTGCCTCTGAGTCCAGTTAGGTGGAGTTTACTGCGGTTCAAGGACCAGGTGCACATGGTAAGTGAGTGAGTTCCGGGATTTGGGAGATTCCCAGAGGACTGGACAGGTCTGTCCCACCCTCCTGGACTTCACTACAGGGAGCTGAAGTCAGGGCCCAAGCGGGAACAGGCCAGGCAGGCAGGGAACATGTGCCTGCCCACGCAGGACAGAAGGCAGAAGGCAGGGCTGTCAGGGCCTTGGGTGGTCTGGGCACTGGGGCGGGTGGATGAGGGGCACAGGTTGGGGAGATGCAGGGGTGTGGGGGTGGGGCTCTCCCATGAAGCCGGTCACTTGTCCACATGCTGCAGCAGCAGGTCCACAGCCTCTGCGAGGTTGTCCACGTACCCATCAGCCTTCACTTCTGGATGGTGCTCGTCACTGGGCCTGGAGAGGATGGTGGAGGTTAGTCCATGCCCCCATGTTGACGCCTCTACAGCTGCACCCATGCAGCATCTAGCACAGGCCTGGCCTCAGCTTGAGGAAACCTCCAGGTCTTGCCAGGCAGCCTGACCCGTGACCACTGGCCATCCCCCTCTTCCCCATCCCCTACTCAGGCACACATGGCCCCTCCTGACTGTGCCCTCAACCTGGACACCTCCCCAAACCTGTCTCCCATTGGGAGCCTGCTCAGCTTTGTGGCACAGTGCCAGCGGCCCAGCGCCCTCGGGTCTCCAGCACAGGCATCTCACCTTTGATGGTGGGAACGTGAGTGTACGCTGCTCTGGGCTCCCCGGGGGCTCACCCTGCATCCCTGGCATGGCCTAATGCCTGGTGGGAGGAGCCTAGGACATGTGCACTGTGGGGACTGCTGAGGGAGAGCCCCGGAGCTCCTGCCTGCCCTACCTTGAGGCCACGTCCACCGGACAGAGGGGGCACTGGCTGCTGGGTAAGCTGCCCTCTGGCTGGGATTCTGGGGGCAGAAACCTCCCCAAAGCCTTCAACCACTCCCCAGGCATCTCCCGAGGTCTCACTTATGCTGAGGACTGATTCCATGAGGCAGCACAGAAGTCTCTGTGGGCTGAGTCCTGAAGGCAGGTGGGGGCTACTGGTAGACACATGTGTGGGAGAGGAGGGCCCCAGCCACAGGAAGAGCTCAGGTGAGTTAATGGGGACATCCTAGAGCCTTTTTTTTTTTTTTTGAGACCAAGTGTCACCCTTGTCCAGGCTGGAGTACAGTGGTGCGGTCTTGGCTCACTGCAACCTCCACCTCCTGGATTCAAGCGATTCTCCTGCCTCAGCTCGGGAGTAGCTGGGACTACAGGCTACTTTTGTACTTTTAGTAGAGACAGGGTTTCACCATGTTGGCCAGGCTGGTCTTGAACTCCTGATCTCAAGTGACTCCCAAAGTGCTGAGATTACAGGAGAGAGCCACCACACGCAGCCTGTACCCCAGTTTTGACAGTCATTTGAGGAAGTGGCACCTCATCCTAGGGGCTGTAAGCCAGAAGACCCCTCCCCACAGCCTTGCATCCACAGAGGGGCTGCTGGAGCTTGGCAGGAAATGGGGACCTGCCCGTCTGCAAACCTACCACTGCCGAGGGAAGTGTTCTCGGATCACCCCATGGCCTGGCCCAAGCTCCCTGAGAAGCAGGGAAACCACAGCCTCCCAGCTGTGTGCCCTGCCTTGGAAGCTGCCACCCTGGTCTAAGAGGACATGCTTGAAGTTGGTTCTCACAACATCTAAAAGTTGTGTTGTCCCTTTCAAAGCGTTTGCTTTCTGCAAAGGGCTTTCTTTACCCCAAAATGACTGCCATGAGCAGGGGTGCTTTTTCTTTTAAGGGTTCTCAGTCCAGTGGCCTGGAGGCTACCTCCTGCACTCAGGGACTGCTGAGGTTGTGGACCTGGATGGGGGCACAGGGAGGGGAGGGCAGTGTGGGCTCCTCTGTGACTGGGGGGGTACACCTTTTGGCTCTTGTCCAGGTCCCAAGGGAACCCTGTCCCCTGCGCCCCTCCAGTGCCCCCACTTGCTGGGCCACCCGCTTATACGGGGCTGCGGCCACTTTCCCTCCTACTGTCTCTGGGCACAGCACTCAGGCCTCACGTCCCTCGCTTCCTTACACCCTCCAAGGAAGAAATGGCCACCGCCATCTTGAACAGGTGAGGAAACAGCTCAGAAAGGTTCAGAGACTGGCTGAAGGTCACACGGTGGGGAGAGCAGAGCTGGGATCTGACCGAGTTCTACTCCCAGCCCTGGTTCTTTCGAGAGCTTCCACCATGGCTGGACCTTCCAGTTCCTTCCAGCAAAGGGTGGCTGACAGCACCCACTCCAAGCAGAGGCACTGACAAATGCCAGAACCAGTGGGTGTTGCTCTACTGCTCCTGAATGAACACACACCAAACTAAGAGTCTTGGGGACCAAACAAGCGGACGAGTGTGTGGTGCCCTCACCCAAACTCCCACCCATCCCCTCACCCCCACCCCATCCTCACCCACAGCCCCATCTGCACCCTCACCCTGTCCCACACCCCAGTCCCACTTGTACCTCACCCTCACCTGAAACTTCACCCTTACCCAAACCTTCACCCCCACCGTCACCTGTGCCTTCACCTGCGCCTTCGCCCCCACCCCCACCCCATCTGTACCTGCACCCTTGACTGCACCCACAACCCCTCCACATCCTCACCCACACCCTCACCTGTACCCCCACCCTCAGCACCCTCACCCACAACAGCTCCATCAGCACCTGCACCCACTCCCAAACCTGCTCCCTCACCCGAACCCTTGCCCACTCTAGCACCCTCACCCACACCTTCACCCTCACTCCCACCCTTCCCTGCACCTCTCCCGCTTCATCAGAACCCCGGGCAAGAAGAGCTCATGTCAGTCTCGGGCTTTAGAGGCCTCTCGTTCTGCTCATGCCATTCTGTGTGTTCTGTGATGGCACAGTGTGTCCACGCTTTAGGAAAGGTGGCACTGAAGATGGGCATGATGCTGCATCTGCTGAAATCTGTTCTGGGCACTGTCACAAGGTCTTCTGCGGTATGGGTCACTTTGGAAAACTGCATGCTAATATCCTCTAGCAACCTGCAGTCCCACTCCTAGGTATGTACTCAGCAGAAATGCATCTGCGCATTCACCAAAGGCACATGCTAGAATGTTCCACACAGCTTTAGTTGCAATAGCAGAAGTCAAACACTGGACAAATGCCCGCCAGTGGGAGGATGGGAAAACAGATGGTGGCAGAATCGCACACTGGAACGCTCCGCAGTGGCTCCGCCTGGCGTGAGCTCCCGCTGCATGACAACGTGGGAGCCCGTGGGAGCCCCAGACCTGAAGAGCAACCAAAGCCACGTGAGGAGCACACAAGGCATGGCCGATTCAGAGGGCTCCGGAGCTGGCAAAGGCAGGCCAGTGACAGGGTGAGATGGTGGTTTCCTCACGGAATGGTGAATGGGGTGCCAGGAACATTCTAGATCTTGACTGGGGTGGGGCTAACATCCTGCTCTTCACTTCTAGAGCACTTTACTAATGTTATTTCTCAAAGATTTAATTAAAAAGCCACATATGGGCCGGGGGTGGTAGGTAGCTCACGCCTGTAATCCTACTACCTTGGGAGGCTAAGGCAGGAAGATTGCTTGAGCCCAGGAGGTCGACACCAGCCTGGGCAACATGGTGAAACCCCATCTCTACAAAAAATACAAAAATTAGTCAGGTGTAGCAGTCGCCTGTAATCCCAGCTATTCAGGAGGCTGAGGTGGGAGGATTGCCTGAGCTTGGGAGGCTGAAGCTGTGGTGAGCTGTGATCATACCACTGCACTCCAGCCTGGGTGACAGAGTGAGACCTGTCTCAGAAAAAAAAAAAAAGCCGCACATGATGCTCACAGATGCTGCCAAGAGGGCCAATCCTACCGGTGGCCTGTTTTTACATTTTTTAAGGGACGTAAAAAGAAGAGAATAATACTCAAAAGAGACCAAACGGAAGCCTGCAGAGCCTGCAGAGGTAAGGATCTGGCCCCTGGTCTGGCCTGCCTACTCCCCTGTACCCCAGGTCTCTGGACAGGCCCTCCTGGGAACAAGTTCTTGCTCTTGGAGGCCAGTGCATCCACTCAAGTGCCCCCTCACCCACTGCTGCAGGAGATGCGGCTGCTCCGGGCTGGGCAGGGCTGGTCCCGGTTTCCTGGAGCTGCCAGCCATGCCCAGCTCCAGCCTGTGCAGATACACAGTGCCCTGGTACAGAACGAAGGGTGGGCAGGGGTACAAGGTCCCCTCAAGGCTGCTGACACTCCCCCTCTTACTCAGGTACCTCTTGGAGGACAGATGCCATGAGGGGAAGCACTTCTTCCCTCGGCAGCTCTACCTCTGAGACTGTGCTGGCCCTGGCTGAGGGTAGGTGGGCAAGAGGGCAGGGGGGCAGGAGGGCAGGAGGGGCCCCCTGACTGAGACAGAGACAGCGCCAGATCAGCCCCCTGGCAAAACACCTCTCGGCCTCAGTTTCTTCATCTGTGCCTTGAGCCCCCTACCAGCCACGTGGCCTCAGGCAACTTCCGTAGGCCCCTGTGCCTTGGTGTCCCCACCCCTACACTGAGGTCATAATAGCATGCGCCATGGGCTCCTGTCAGGAGGGCAGGAACTCGTGGCAAGGACAGGTTGGTTGGTGCGGGCATGGGCGCTGTTGTGGCTAAAATCGGGAACTCAGCAATGCTGTCTGGGGAATGCGCCTTGGGCTGGGGCTGGGTGGGCCAGGGAGGTGGTTTGTGATTGGCCTTGAGCCTTCCCCTGGGCACACAGGCTGGGTGGTGGGGACAGGCAGGCAGGCAGGCGGATGGACACACCCTGGTGTGTGGGGTACAGCGAGGACAGAGTGAGCCCACCACAGGCACTGGAGTTGGGGGGAGGTCAGGAAGGCTCCAAGCAGGATTCTAGGGGATGTCCCAACAGCCTGGAGTCTAGGGAGGGTGCCTGCAGGCTCGCTCCTGCACCACGGCTCTGCCCCCTCTCGCCCTCTGCACCTGTGGCGCCATGCCTCCCTGGGCTCACCTCTGCCTGGCCTGTGTGCATGGCCTGGGCTCCCCCTGGTGTCTGGGAAGATGAGCTCGGAAGCCTGCTCGCTGCCACCGTGTGTGCCCAGCCACACTCACAAGGAGTCCAGGGCTGAGGCCTCACTGGTACCAGTTCTCTCAGCCAGTTCCCATCTGATTCCCAACTTCTCTCCTCATGGCGGTGAGAGGTCTGGGCTCCTTGTTGCCCAAAGCGGAACAGATTTTTCCAGCAAACACTGCCCACAATTCATCATCTCAGCCCCCTGGGGACTGGCCCCCAGGACCCCCTCGGGCACCTCCTGAGCCAGGCTTACTGTCCAGGCAAAAGAAACCAGCCCCGAGAGGGAACAAGAGTCCTCCCCACAGATGATGAGGCTTTGTAATGAGAATCCAACCAGCCCCACTCCGTGCACGTACCTAGCCGAATGGCGTCTGTGGCTAATTATGTTTAATTACATGTCATTTAAATTCAAGAATCCACTAAAAGAAAGGATTGCATTAGCACCCGACCAGTGTTTGCCCACACGCAGCAGAAATCGTGGACTTTTATGTCATTAAGACGTGACGCGGCTGTGGGCTGCGGCTCCCAGGGAGTTGGAGTAGACGGGAGGGGACCGTTTCTGCCCGGCTGGCCCCAAGCCCCTGAAGCCGCTCTGCCTGGTCCAACGGCCTGCGCAGGAGTCGTCCCTGCCCCACACTGGCCAGTGCCCTGTGACCTACGGGCCTCAGAGATGCCATGGTACAAAAGCTGAACCAAGAAACCCAGCAAAGGTGAGCCCTTGGTAGTGGGGACAGAGCTGGAGGAGGAGGAAGAGAAGACAGGAACACGGCCACACACGGAGGGAGGGAGGGAGGGAGGGCAGGGACAGGAGGGACTACAAGACAGGCAGAAACAGGGAAAGAGAAAAGAAACAGAAAAGGAGGGTGGAGAGGGCAGGCGGGTAGAGACAGACACGGAGGGAGGGGACAGGCCCGGGACACAGGAACAGAGACCACACCATGTGCAGGGCACAGGTCTTCACCAGGCAGGGAGGCGTTGCTCGGGCTGGGGCTGCCCCGGGGTTCTGAGTCCAGGCCACGTGGGCCTGCATAAGCCCCTCTGCCCTTCCCTGGCTTACGGGCCCTGGCTGAGGGCTCCCTGTGGGGGTCCCAGCACTGCTCCTCCTCTGCCCCAGGCCCAGCCCAGGCCCTCACCTAGGTGAGCACCCAGTGAACTGTCCCCAGTCAACTTCGTGGCCCAGGGCAGGTCTCTTTACCTCCCTGAGCCTCGGCTTCCTCATCTATAAGGTGGCAGGGGGCCTCGCTCCAGGGGCCACTCAGATGAAACAGATGAAACGGGGCGAGACTGAACACGAACCTGGCATTTCCCCTGCACCTGGGGACTCTGCAGCCCACACTGGCACTGGCTCCTGCCCCCATCCCACCTCCACCCTCTGCCCTCCAGGCTTCACAGGCCAGTTCCACACTCACAGTTCTCATCACTGCTGGGAAGGAAAGAAAAGGGCCTGGAGTCACCGCACTGATGGGAGAGGGGGCGGGCAGAACTGAGTGGGGACACTTCCAGAAACGGACATGAAAGCGCGCACCACTCCCATCCATCGTCCTTGCTGCTGTCCTCCTGAGAATGGCGTGGAGACACCAGGCCTTTGCAGGGCGGCTTCCTCTCCAAGCCAGAGTGCCCGGCCCTCAGGGCCTGGCTGGGAGATGGAGGCAGTGGGAGATATCCCCAAGTGCCTGCAGAGTGGCCGTGGGCTCTCTCCTGTCCTGGGTGCGGCCTCCCTCGGGTTGCATTTCGGTCTCTGGCTGAGGACCTGCTTCTCGTGTGGGGCATCCTCCAGGTACCTCCCCTGTCCTTGCGCAGCACCCTGCAGGTGGGTCCTATTGTCTGATTTGGAGGTGGAAGTGGAGAGACACGGCAGTGAAGTGTGTGGGCAGAATGGCCAGGAGGCCGGCCTGGAGCTAGCATGGCTTCCTCAGGCCCCACAGGGTGACCTGGGCCCCTTGGGGACAGGAGGTCTGCTAAACCCTGTTCCTTTCCCTTTCCTCCTCCCCCTCCACCGGCTTGTCCATCCAGCCTGGCCCCCTCTTGTCTCTTCTGCAGAGTAGCTTCCCCAGATGCTCACCTGCTCCTGCCTCCCCCGTAAACCGCTGTGGCTCCCTACTGTCTACGTCGTAGCCCAGTTCCTCAGCATGGCAGGCAAGTCCATCCTGCCTGGGCCTTACCTGCGGATCTCTCTTCCCATGCCAGCCTCTCAGTGCCTGGGCCGCCGCTCCACAGATGTCCCAGCTCTCCCTGCCACTGCCCATGCTATACCCTAGAATGCTCTCTTGAAACCTGCTCCACATGCAAACTCCTACTCATGCTTTAAGACCCTACTTGTCCCCGTCTCCAATCTATGTTCCTTCCACTGGGTGAGCTGCTGTCTCTTCTGAGCATGCAGAATGTGCCCCCCACCCCACCCCGTGCCACGCCACCACAGCTGGGTGCTGCTCTGCCGCTTCACCTGCAGGTGATTGTGCTGACTTCACTTCCTGGAGGGATAGGCCAGGTTTCCTGCCCTCGGTGCCGCCCGCCCTCCCCAGGCGTGGGCCAGAGCAGGCACCCAGGAAGTCTCCACCAAATGAATGAACAAAGGCCCTCAGCTGGGCCGGGCAGTGCCCATCATCAGTGATTCCTCCCTCTCATGCCCTGTGAGTTAAATGCAGGGAATGAGTGAGTGACAGGCAGAAAACAAGGCGGTTCTGTGTCTGACTAGCTTCACGGGGACAGTCTCAATCGAAGGAAATGGTGGCCAGACCCCAGCAAACAAGCCTCATGAGGGTGGTCTCCCTGCCGCTACCTCCAGGGCACATGCCTCCTGGGCAACACTGACCAAGGGGAGATGGCGGCCTCTCCCAGAGGGGCTCTTGAGGGTCCTGCCCTGCCTGGGGCTCCCAGGGTGTGGCCTGTCCACCCCCTCCCACCCTGCAGGGTCACGGGCAGGGGCAGGGTGGGGAAGAGGCTCTCACAACTGGAGGCCGAAACAGCTGCCTGCCCATGGAGGGCCATGTTCCCCATCCCCAGTTGCTTTGGAAAGGCAGTAGCTGAGAGCCAGGTGCTGGGGGCGGCTGCCCCGTGAATTCAGGGATCTGAGCATTGGCATCAGAGGGTGATGTCAGCTCAGCTGTGCTGACAGACTTGCAGAACAAAGAGGCCACTGATTCATGAGGTGGAGGTGGCAAGGCCGGGCATGGGGCAGCCTCCATCAGAACCCCAGGAGCCCAAGATCCCTGGGGCCTGGGGGGTTGTTTCTAGAAGGGTGTTCACCAGAGCCTGGCCCTGGCAAGTGCTGGGAGGATGTGTCTGGGAGGCCTGCCTCCACCTGCACACCTCAGCTTCTCTGAAGGCTGATTGTCAGATGCCTGCAGGAGCGCAGCACTGTGCCCACGGGGTTCCCTGCTGTCCACATGCTGGCTCAGCATGGCCACCTTCAGGACAGCAGCTTGCTGGGGCCCGGTGATGGGGGAAGAAAAACCCACATGCTGCCCATGACCTGGCCTGAGCTGGGCTCCTGGCAGATGCCCAAGGATCAGTGACTTCCTTACAGGGTGGTGGGGTGGGGGCGTGGGGGGTTGTGGGGTGGACATGGCCACGGATCTCAGGCAGGTTGCTCTGACCCCTCCATTCCCTGGGCTAACACTGGGCCTAGGTTCTGGAAGTGCTTCGGGGGGTGTGACATGTCCAGATCCAGGTACCTCTAGAAAGGCGCCGTGTCCTGCTGCTTAAAAAGAAACCCGAGCCAGGAGCTCCTTCCCATGGAGCCTGTGCATCCAGCCAAGGCCTCTGGCCCAAGAGGGACACAGGACTCTGACCTGGTGGCTGCTTGCAGAGATCACATGGCGCCTGAGCCAGCACTCTAGTCCCAGGCCTGGGCCTCAGCAGGTGCTGGGGACACAGGCTCCAGCCTCAGCTGCCTTGCCTCACTCAGGGACTGCTCAGCCTCAGGCCTGTGTGCCCCCAAGCCGGCTCTGCCCACAGGCCTGGGGACTGCTGTGAGTCAGCCTGGAGCCCCGGAGCCCAGCCTGGGGACCCTCTAGCCCAGGGTACCTCCTGCCACGAAGGCCAGCTGGGTCCAGGCGGGAAGGGCAGTCTGGAGGGACCGGAGAGTGGGGCCACAGGCCAGTCCCACGGCGAGGACCAAAGGGAGGCTCCCATCCTGGAGACCTGCCCTCCCCTTGTCTCCCCACCCCCCGCTCACACATGCGGGAGCTTCCTGGGCTACCTTAAAGCCACTTGGCAGAAAAACATCAAAATAAAAACCCAGGCCTAAAGGAGTCCTTGCCCTGGGCCTCTCTGGGGCCCTCAGCCCTCTGGCCAGGAACAGGGATGGGGACACACTTCCCCGACTGGGCCCTCTCTTGGAGGTGCCACGCTCCCTTTCCCACTGGCCCAGCCGAAAGCAAAGCAGTGGCCGGCTTGGGGGAACCACGTGCTGGTCCCCCATCTATCTGGCCATCTCTTCCTCTGTAACCAGGAGGGGTGGGGTGGGAGGAGGTGACCCGTCTCCCAGAGCCCCTACCCATAGCATCTGTGTGTGACTGGGAAAGTTTTGCATCCTGGCTGAGCCTGCCCAGCCCAAACCACCCATGCCCGCCTTCCCCCCACCTAGGGTGAGCCAGACACCCACAGAGGCTGGGCCTGAGGGCACTGCAGATGTTTGGCCAGGCTGCAGCCCCCAGGTGGCGCTTCGTACAAAGACAGCCAGGGCAATGGTGAGAGGCCTGAATTCCCCAACTCTGTCCCTCCCCAGCCTGGTCCCAGCCCCAGTGCCCCTCCCAGGGGCTGCAGCTGGCCACGCCCGCCCTGCCCTGCCTGTCCAGGAGGCCTGTCAAGGATGTCTCAGAGCTAAGAGTGAGGTGGGGTCCTGTGCCCCCAGCCGAAAGACACACCTTCCCTGTGTGCACGTGTGTGGGCGGGTGCAACCCAGAGATAGGAGAGGGCCGCACTGTCTCCTGCCCTCGGCCTTGGGTCCCTATAGTTTCCTGGTGGTTTGACCCCCACAGTGTGGATCTGTGAAGAGCAGGGGTGGGGGCAGGGCTGGGCTAGCTGAACCACAATTTTCTTCCATTGTGAGGGCAGGGCTGCCTAACTGAACCCCCTTTCCTTCCAGTGGGTGGTACTTAACTAGTCAGTACAAGAGTCTCTCCTTGTAGAAGGAGGCACTCACTGGGCTCTGAGCCCTGGTGGGTAAACTGAGGCACAGAAGGGCCTTGCCCAAGGTCTCACCCATCCCCGAGAGCCTATTTCACTGGAACTAGGCCTTGCCTGCCACCTGCAACCCAGAGCTCTCACCAGCCAGGCCCTGGGGTACAGGTGAGACTGCTCTAGCTAGCAGACGCATGGCCACATCATTAGTGATACCACAATCGGCCCACACCTCTGCAGCAGGCCAGCTGTGGGCGGCATCTCCACGTGCTCTGCACAGCACACCGTGGGGTGCGTACTGTGATCCGCTTCTCTGAGATAAGGAGACAGACCCCAGAGAGGAAGGGGTCACAGCCAGAGGCAGCAAAGCTGGGGTTTCAACCCAGTTGGTCTCCTTCCCACAAGAATGGAAATCTGGGCTCACATTAGTGATTCATCCCTGGGCACATGGACATAGCCTGCATCTGGGGGTCTCTGATAGGCTGGTTGGCTCTGGCCAGACCTGGAGGCCTGTGGGCAGGGGTCTCCCCTCCCAGCCACCCCCAGATGGAGCCAGGGTGCTAAGAAGAGGCCGTGGAGGGACAGCCTGCGTGGAGGCCGACGGGGACCTAGAGAAGAGGAAAGGTGCATGCTGGGAGTGCACATGGGGCTGGCAGCGCATAGCCTCCCCATGGCTGGTGCTCTGCATGGGGCCACCCAGATGCCTGCGTTCCTTGGGATCTGCTGCCTTATGGTCAACAGGACCCGGGGGCCAGGGCTGAGGCAAGGGTGTGTGCCAGCCAGCCAGAGGGCAGGGGGGCCTGGGCAAGGCTTTAAGCTCCCAAGCTGGAGCCTGGCGGGGAAGGGCTTTTGCTGTGAACCTTGGCACCCGCCAGCCCCTGTCCACAGGGAGGAAACGGGGCTTATTTACAGCTGGGTTTAGCCAGGTGGCACCCTGTCAACCAGAACTGACACCATGGCGCCAGCTATTTCCTGCACGGTCCTCACTGCCCCAGTGACTGAGGCCGAGAGCAGACGTGGGATGCAGTGAGAGGGACTGGTGGTGATGCTTGGCTGCCCACTAGTGTATGGTGGTCTCCGGAGACTCCCTCACATGGCAAATGTGGTCCTGTGAATCCCCGACCCTGGCTGGAGTGTGGGGCAAGTGCTACCACCCACCTGCCTTCACCTGATTCACGTACACATAAGGCCCCGGTCAAGCGCACAAAACCAGAGCTTTTCAAAACCAAAAGCTGGAAATCTAACTTCTGGAAAAAATCTGAAAGACCCCAGTATGGGTGGACAAACCGTGGGCAGCGGTGTGCCGCAGGGTGTGATGTGGCAGCTGTCCCCTTGGAAGGGGCAAGGCGTGCCCCGCTGCCACGCTCCCCGCCATTCTCTAGTGTCTCTCCATTCCCACAGCAGGCATGCGTCACTCTAGTGCACATCCCCCTGCCCTGAGCTGTCTCGGAGTCTGCTGCACGGCCCTAAAGCTCTGGCTACCTGAGACTCATTCCCCAAGAGCAAGTCACCTCCTTGTCTTCCCTGAAGCCTTCCTTCAACCCTCACCTCCTCAGTTAGGTGCCCATTCTGCACTCCATGGCAACTGTGTGGATGCCATCATAGCACTCGTCAATCTCTAGAATTGTTTGGTTACCTGCGTGCTGCCCACTCCACAGAGATCCCTGAAATCAGGGGCATTCCTTTGGTGGCCTCATGGCCTTGGCTCGTACTGAGCTGTCAGCCAACTACCTGAGTTGACAAGCAGGCAGCCTCCTTCCTCCTAACCACTGGGGACTGTGGGTCATCGCCCAGCATCAGCTGCACGGCCCTAAAGCTCTGGCTACCTGAGACTCATTCCCCAAGAGCAAGTCACCTCCTTGTCTTCCCTGAAGCCTTCCTTCAACCCTCACCTCCTCAGTTAGGTGCCCATTCTGCACTCCATGGCAACTCTGTGAGCCCCGGCCCTCCTAGAAATATGGGCTGGGGGTAGACAGCCCATGAGTGGAGCGGTGATGGGCAGACAGGCAGGCCCCTAGGGCTCAAGGCCTTAGCAACCTGGCCTGACTTCACCCTTCTGGTCCTCCCTAGAGCCCAGCTCCAGCACAAGGGGCCACATGTACTTCACCTCCTTGGGGGAGGCCCCACTGCTTAAGACCCTGGGCACCTAGGCTGCAGTACTGATACAGAGAACTGCCTTCTGGAGACTAAATCCTTGGATGGAGCACCCTCTCCCACAACCAGACTGAGAGGTGTGAGCATGCTGGCCACCCCACCCAGGCCAACGCCCAGATCGGGCCAGCCCTGTTTCTGGCCAGTGAAGCTGAGCCCTATGTGGCAAGCCCCCCACCCTGCCTGGCCGCCTACAGCCCTCTGTGCTTTGGCGTAGCGGGTACCAGTGCTCCGGGGCAGGGGCCTAGGAAGAGCTGAAGGCGCCAATAATGGAAACAAAAGCTCACAGCAGCCGGGGTCCCGGAGGCCTGTCGGGGAACCCATCACCCCAAGGGGCCCCACTAGCAACCGGGCCAGACCCAGATTCCCTAAAGTGGCCCACAGGGGGCCCTGGATTGGCCCCTGCTTACACATCAGCTGCCCCTCTCCCCGACCCCAGCACTCACCTGCCCCTGCCTCACCTGGTGCCTTTCTCAGCCGCCTCCTCCGCCTGGTACACCCTCTCACCAGCCTCCCTCCAGGAGCCCCAACTCAGAGATCCCTGCCCCGTGGTCTCCAGGACCTGTCCTACCCCCTGAAGAAACACACACTAAATGAACGAAGACCTGGAGGGTCTCTGGGACACAGGCCTGGGGGATCCAGTTGGAACTTCCAGAATGGGGGCTGGCAGGGAGGAGCACCCCCAGAGTGGGTGGCTCTGTCCACAGAGCATTACACCTGGTTCAGGGCCACATTGTGGATGCAGCTCCTGGGCACCCCAAGTCAAGCCCCAAGCAGCTGGCCGTCACCTCCCCCAGGATGCCCACAGGATGTCCAGACAGCAAAAGTGGCTTCTCTTTTTCTCCTTTTTTGTTTATAGGAAGCTTTGAAAGCCAGGCCTCCCTAATTCCAATGACTCGAGGACTCGGGCTCCCACAGCCTGGCTGCTCCACCTGCACACCAGGAGGCGGGGCTGGCGGAGGGGCCTGGGCTTCGGCCATGGGAAGGGCTGGCCCTGACCTCTGTGTGACCCTGGCCAAATAGCCACTCAGAGCCTCCCTTCTCTCATCTTGAAAGCTGGAAAGAACCCATCCTAGGGCTACAGAGGAGATTCACCAAAATTATACAGGGGTTGGCCACGGCAGGTGCTCGCCGGGGTGGTGCCTGGACAGGTGGATGGGAATGGACAAATGGATGGTCAGAAGGATGAACGGATGGGCAGGGATGGATGGATGGGTGGGTGGGTGGACAAGTGGACAGATGGACTGATGGATGGATGGGGACAGACAGAGAAGGGTGGATGGCAGGCCCTGCATCAGTGGGGAAAGGTGAACAGAGACAGATAGATGGACAGACGGATGGACAGGTGGGTGGGCTGCTCCCAGCAGGTCCTCATGCTGGCCCTGGCCTCATCAGAACTCACATTAGCCTCACTGTCTGGAGAGCAGGCTCCATCTTGAGATGGTGGGCAGGTCCGATGCCCAAACACCCAGGGGGCTTTCCCCATGGGGCTCTCAAGAGAACCTCAAGGCCACGCCCAGCCAGGCCACCAGGCTCAGAGCACCACACTCCTGGCCCTCAGTGGCCAAGCAGGCCCTGGACAGCTGATGCCCAGACCCTGCAGAGACACCTGTGTGGCTGTGCCCGGAAACCAGTGGCAAGAGGCCACGCTGGACTCTGAGACAGAGAAAGGGAAGCTCCTGTGGGTGCGGACCCAGCCCGTGTCTCCTCCAGGTCGATGGGACACTCCTCTTAGAACACTACACCTGGCAGTGCCAGTCACAGAGAGTCCTCCCCCTGGGTACCTGGTGAGGGGTTTTCACAGCAGCTGGGGAGTGGGTGCCTCGCCCCATCTTACAGCTGACCAAATGGAGGCTCAAAGCTGGTGGGAGGACCCCTGCCTGCCTTGCAGCCTGGGCCAGCAGGTGGCTGGCAGGACTCACCTAGAAGGCTTTGGCAGAGGGATGAACTTGGGCACAGCACCTCAAAGCAGAGGAGCCTCTTGCAGCTGTTCACAGTATTTTGATAAAAACATGTTAAACACCTGGTGTGTGTCTAGATTTTAAAGAGCTGACTCCGCCCCTCCCAGTGTGCACTACAAAGGCCAGATCCCCCAGAGTTCTGCATGCACCCTCACCCAGGGGCACAGGCTGGGCTCAGGGCGGGGCTCTCATTTGAACTGCCCCAGAAGTGCCACCCCACCTCCTCTCCTTTTCAGGCCAAACCACATGGGGGTGGAGAAGCCCCATGTCTAGCCCAGCGGCCCAGGAGAAAGCAGGGGTGCAGAGAGGTGGGGCCGTCCTCTCCCAGGGCTCAGTGTGCCCCTGCTGGTCCTGGGGACGCTGGAGTCACTTCAGCCCCACGATTTCAGAGCCTAGTGTCATCCCGACCACTACTCACAGCCCTGAGTGCTAGGCTGGGGGATCTTTTTGACAGGTGGCGGTGACACTGATAGGGACTTGCTATCCTGGGTGGTGACCCCCATGTTCTGCCCAATGGGCAAAGAAGCTGAAGCTGAGGGACAGGTGAGGGGCCTGCCTGGAGCCCTACGCCGCTGTCTTAGGCAGGACTGACAGGATGGATGTCTCTGTGAAGGGGTCTCATTAGGAGAACTGGCTCACACCATCACAAGGCAAGTCCACGATAGGCCATATGCAAGCTGCGGAAGAGAGAAGCTGGTAGTGGCTCAGTCCAAGTCCAAAAGCCTCAAAAGCAGGGAGGCCGGCACTGCCCGAGCGCTCCCAGCAAACCACTGGTGCAAAAGTCCCGGAGTCCAGAGGCCGGAGAACCCAGAGTCTGACGTCCAACAGCAGGAAGCATCCAGCACGGGAGACGGATGAACACCAGAAGACCCAGCAAACGCAGTCTCCACCACCCTCCACCTGCTTTGTTCCAGCCGTGCAAGCCGCCGGTGGGACTCCCTCTCCCCGTCCACCGACTCAAATGTCAGTCTCCTCTGGCAACACCCTCGCAGACACTTGACCAGCCCAGCCATCCAGGCCTCCTTCAATCCAATCAAGCTGACACCTCGTAGTCACCATCACAGTGGCAGGGCAGGGCTCACACCTTCAGCCTCCGTCCTGGCCTGTCTGTGGGGAAGCAGGTCCCTGACAGTCAGGCCTCCCAGCCACCCACCCAGCTTCATGGTGCTCCCTGCTCATGGGCCAGGCTGCCCGCCCTGTGTTGTTTAGGGTCTGATGTGTAGAGCCCTCATTCCAAGAAAAGCTCGGCCCCTGCTTAGCGATGTGGCTGTGCTAACTCCACGCTCTCCAGGGGTTCACATGGGACCTCCTGCGGCATCGGCCCACTCTGCATGTGTCCATCTACAGGGATTCATGCAGGTGCCTCAGGAAGGAAATGACACCACTACACGCCTGCCTGAATGGCCAGCGTGGAGAGGTCCGGCCACACCGTGTGCTGGAGAACGCGCAGTGCCGTGGGAACTCACGCGAGGCTGGCGGGAATGCATCAGGACTCATCGGGCGCACTGGAGAGACGTTTGGTGAGAATGTCCCACAGAAACACATGCTCGCCATGGGACCCTGCAGCCCGGGTCCAGAGTCACATGCATGAAATAAGGCTAAGTCCATGAAGAGCCGTGGACAGGCCTTTTCTGATCAGCTCTGTTCACAGGGACCCTAAGCCAGAAACCGCCCAAGGGTCCAGCAACAGTGAAATGATGAATACATTGTGGTCCAGCCTCGTGATGAAACATCGCCCATGGATGCCACAGGATGGAGGAGAGATCCAGAGGAAGTTTGAGGGGTGGCTCAGAAACCACAGTAAGGAAGAAAGGAGATATCCACACAAGGGGCCTAGGAATTTGAGCAAAAAAAAACCACTTAGCTTTGAGTCCCCTGGGAGCCAAAGCAAAGATGGAATCCCTGTAGGTTACACAGAAACAGATAACTGTTTAGGAGGGACAGCCTTCCCAGGAGCACAGGCCAGGGTGCGAGGGGCGTGCGTGGCCTTCTGTGGCAGCCAAGGCTCCAGCACAGGATCTGGGAGCTCAGAAGCCATTCTTCCCACATGGGCAGACCCCTGGCCATCTCCGATACATGCAAACTTGAAGGTGCCTGCTGTGGCTCCCCGGGGGACAGCCGGGTTCTGGGCCCAGATTGCAGTCCTCCTCCTGCCCTTGGCAGCCTGCTGGGTGCCCTCCTCATGCCCCCACCCAGGTTGCAGTGGGTGGGGAAGAACAGAGCTGGGGCTCATCCCTCTCCAGTGCCCAACCCTACAACCCTGCTCAGCAACCCCAAGCAAGAGAAGTCACTCCAAAGGCCAGTGTGATGGCAGAGGGGACCAGAGGCCCTCACCTGGGGAGGAGTCATTCCAGCAGAAAGAGGCAGGCCCAGTCTCATTAAATGACGTGGTATCTTAGTCTGTTTTCACACTATTAATAAAGACATACCTGAGGCTGGGTACTTTATAAAGGAAAGAGGTTTAACAGACTCACAGTTCCACATGGCTGGGGAGGCCTCACAATCACAGCGGAAGACAAAGGAGGAGCAAAGGGGCCAGGCGCGGTGGCTCACACCTGTAATCCCAGCACTTTGGGAGGCCAAGGCAGGCGCATCACTTAAGATTAGGAGTTCCAAACTAGCTTGGCCAACATGGTGAAACCCGTCTCTACTAAAAATACAAAAATTAGCCAGGGGTGGTGGCACGTGCCTGTAGTCCCAGCTACTCAGGAGGTTGTGCTCCCTGGTGAGGGCCCAGCATATACTAGCCATCCCTGCGGGTGACCTGAATGTCACCAAGATCCACAGGAAGATCATGCTCTTCCACCCGCGCCTGGAAGTCTTTCCCAGAGACTCAGCTCTAAGGGGACCCACCCACAGCCTGGGATATGGAAAGGTTTCCATGAAGTTTCACTGAGACAATTATTATTTGTTGATTAAAAATAAATATATTTTTAATGTAAAAGTTTACTGAATTTGGCCAGGGATGGTGGCTAACACCTGTAATCTTAGAACTTTGTGAGGCCAAGGTGGGTGGATCACCTGAGGTCACTTCTAGACCAGCCTGGCCAACATGGTGAAACCCTATCTCTATTAAAAATGCAAACATTAGCCGGGCGTGGTGGTGGGTGCCTGTAATCCCAGTTACTCAGGACGCTGAGGCAGGAGAGTCGCTTGAACCTGGGAGGTAGAGGTTGCAGTGAGCTGAGATTGCACCACCGCACTCCAGCCTGGGCGACAGAGTGAGACTGTCTTGAGGAAAAAAAAAACTTTACTGAATTGAAGGAAAAATGCCATAGGAATTCCAGAGATATTTACAACAGGAAAGGAGATGCTTAACCCTGGGGAGTAATTAAGGTTGGTAGAGTTTATCTGCTCTGCAAAATATTACGCAGCTATGAACAATGAGCAGGGTGAGGGTGAGAAGACAAGCCTTATACATGCCCATGCCCACAGTTGCAGAAGACAGCTGGCAGGAAACTGGAGGAAATCAACAACTGTCTAAGCATACACTTTTTTTTAAAAGTTCTCTTGGCTACAGCGATGTTTTTTGTTTTTTTTTTTGAGATGTAGTCTCACTCTGTCGCCCAGGCTGGAGTACAGTGGTGTGATCTTGGCTCACTATAACCTCCGCCTCCTAGTTTCTTGCCCCAGCCTCCTGAGTAGCTAGGATTACAGGTGCGTGCCACCATACCCGGCTAATTTTTTGTATTTTTAGTAGAGATGGGGTTTCTTCATGTTGGCCAGGCTGGTCCCAAACTCTTGACCTCAAGTGATCCACCTGCCTCAGCCTCCCAAGTGCTGGGATTCCAGGTGTGAGCCACCACACCCGGCCAGTGCTGTCTTAGTAATGTGTATAATAACCGCCAAGTCTCTAGTTTGGTTGTGGCGCCATTCCACAGAGGTACTGAGGAGGCTGAAAGGTCAAGGGTGTCCTGCAGCCCCGCCAGACTCAACGAGGGCCTGGTGCTGAACGGCCATGGGAGGGACGATCCAGGCAGCCCTGGCCCTGGGCAGTGCAGGCATGGCAAAAGCCACCTGCTCCATAGACCATATCAGTAAATTATGGAGTGAGGGACAGCCCTGGTCAGCCTAGGGAGGCCCTGGAGCCGGTGAAACCTCCTGCTTCAAACACACATGACGTGGAGACCGCCCAGGGCTCGTCCTCGCCCCAGACCCTCTGCTCAGCCACGGCCACTGGGAACGTTGTGTTTGGGTCCCAAGACCACCACCCTCTGGACAGGGTGTCCCGGGGGTCTGTCCAGCAGGTCCACGGTCGCGCCTCACTCAGGGCCACTTGGGGAAGACCTCGAGTCACCCCCGTGAGAGGAGGACATGGGAGGAAAGCTCAGGTCATGTGGCCAGCACACGGGGGCTGGGATGAGGAGCCCAGTGTGACTCCAATGCTGGAAACAACTGCAGGGAAAGAAGAGTGAGCCCCCAGCCTGAGAGCCCGAGGGCCTTAGGGTGCCACTCCTCACATCTCAGGTGTGGAAACTGAGGCCCAAGAGGGGCAGATGCCCACCCGAGGCGGCCAGGGAGGCTGTACCTGAGAGGGTAAGTCCGTGTCCCTCCCAAGAGCGCAGCCTGCCTCTGGGCTGATGGGGCTACCTGCCTCCCACCCATGGGCTGCCGGACCCGCGCAGAAAGAGGTGCTCTTGGCTGGCTTCCCAGGATGCTCCCTCCTGCCTGGACGTGCAATCCAGCGGCCAGGACAGGGGCCATGTGCTGTCTTTATCAGTCCCTCCACACAGATGGGGAGACTGAGGCATAGCACAGGGACCCAGAGCGGGCCAGTGGGGAGGGCAGTACCCTCCCCCTGTGTTTACCCAGCAACTTGCACCCGGTTCCCCAAAACACTGACTGAGGCCACCTCATTTATCATAGCTGCAATGTCATCACCTCATAAATTGTCAAAGCGGCCCAGTGAGGCTCCATTCATTCTGGCCCCAGGGATGCCAGACTGCCCGGGGCGGTGCACCCCACACTGGGCCGATTGTGCCCACAGGGACCCCATCCAAGCTGCTCCGGCTCCTGGCAGGCCGCCGTGTCCTGGACGATTCCTAGACGGAATCTTGTTTTCTCGTTTTCATCTCCAGGCCAGGGAGACGAGCTGCCCTCCAGGGCACTCAGTCAGCTGCTTTGCTTTTCCTCAGACCTGGTCCTGTCCCACCATTTACTGGGAAGCCACAAACCAAGTAAGACAGCCCAGGGCCTCCGGGAAGGCCTGAACGCAGCTCCACAGCTCCCACATCCTGGCCACCAGCCATGGGTGTGGTGGTGGTTGGGGCTCAGTGGTCCTCAGGAGGGCGCCAGAGAGAAGGGGAAACTGAGGACTGGAAGGGAAATTGGGTACTTGGCAGCAATTTAGGCTCAGGATTCTAGGTCAGGGCTTTCCCCAAGTTCAGGAAACACCCCAGTGACTCATTTTCCCCACCAGTGACCTTAGGGTCTCACCATGAAAGCTCAAACCTGGGCCCTAGGTCCAGTGTGCTTTAAAGGCTCTGCTCTGCTGCAATTCGAGCTGACAGGGCCAGCCTGGGGCTGGGTGAGTGCAGCTAAGGGACCTCCCTCTTTGGGGTGCTGAGAGGGTTGAGGCTCCATCAGGCCCAGGTGCCATCTGCCAGGTTTTGGCTTCCCGGTGAGAGATGCAGCGCACAGAGCCTGGCGTTCCCAGGCAGGCCACCCCACACTGTCCCTCACCTAGTCACATGCCAGACCACACTGTGCCAGCAAATGGGGCTTCATACTGCAGTTAAACATCCATAGGACTCGCCTCCTCTTACTGTCTCCCAGCCCCAAGATTCCATTTCTTGACTAATTTTACTTGCTTATTTAATTATATAAACTTGAGCGCTGACTCACCCAGGGTGCGTTACAAGGTGGAGAGAAGAAGGGAGGAGAGAAGATGAACCTCCTGGCATCTTAAATTGTCCCTAAACAAAGTTCTTCACCACCAGGCAGAGTCTAATTTGCTCCTCAGATCCCTCAGAACCGGGAAGTGTTGCTAGCTCTATTGTCAGAGACCCAAGATCAGAGAGAAGATGAGAATGTTTCTCAAACACGGCTGCTCTCTGGAATCAGCTGCGGAGCTCGGAACATTTACTCCTGCCTGCTATCAGAAGTTAGCATGCAGCTAAAGCAGGAGTCGGAGGGAAATTTATAGCACCACGTGGCTGTTAGAAGAGAGGAAAGATTTGAAAGCAATCATTGAAGCTCCCATCTTAAGAAAGTAGAAAAGGGGCACAAAATAAACCCAAAGCAAGCAGAGGAGGGAATGACAGAGACACCGGCACGATGCTGGCCACCTGTTGCGGCCTTGGGCAAGTCCCTTTTTGGGGCCTCAGTGTCCACAGTGACTGTCCTAAACCTGATGTTCTCTGCCTAGGCTTCCAGAGAAACCAGGGGTCAGGGGACAGCCCAGGGGTAGGAGCCAGGCTGCCTCATCCTCAGAAGCCCACCCCCACACTGCTTCCATGGTGGGGGAGGTGGGGGGAGGGGGTGGTATGCACTCTGTCCTCCAGCCCCAGGCCTGCACCTGTGGGAGAGCCCCTGATTGCCCTAGCTCTGTCCCACCTTCAGGGGCACCCCAGCTTTTGTCTTTTCTCCCTGAGGCCCTCTCCCTCACTGGTTGCTCAGGCCATGCCTGCTGGAGCCCTAGCAGCTGCAGGCTACTGGTCAGGCGCAGGAGTCTTCCCTCCCCGCCTCACCCCCGCTGACCCTGAAGTAGCAGTTAACACCCACCCGCCATGCCCCTTCCCCCAGCTTATTTCCTGCACATTCCATACCCCCTTTGGGAGGCTACTCTGCGCTCTCCACTGGAGAGAGTTGAGGAAACAGGAATTCCTCATGTTTGGGTCTGGTGGAAACTTCACAAAGGAATGATGCTCTCAGGCCCCAGATGGGCGAGACTGCTTCTGTCTGGGACGGGGATCCTGTGTCCTGGGAAGGAGGCCCAGGCGGTGCTTACCAATGACACAGTCCCAGCCCTTGAGTTCACAGGGCACAGCCAGATGGATTCAAAGCCATCCTGCCCCTCCAAGTGTGCACGCTAATGATCTGGCCTTTGTTTTGTGGACAGAGAAGCAGGCTGAGGAAGGGGACATCGCTTCCCTCAGTCACAACGAGGCTTAGCTGAGCCTTGTTGGCACCTCTGTGGGAGAGGTGCATTGTGCAGGTAGGGAATGTCCTGGGCAGACAGGACCAATTCTGTCCCCTCACCTGGAGCTCCCAGCCTAGAAGTGACAAGTACAGCCATGACACGGGACAGGTACTGGGTGGGGTCTTGGCAGGGGAGCCAAGTCCCCTAATGGGGTCACACAGGCTTTCTCGAGGCAGCCTGGAGATGCTCACCATCACCCATGCCTGCATCAGACCTCAACTCAGAATACTGGGTCAGGTGACATCTTTTTGGCTCAGAGCATGAGAGGCGCCTTCAGAGCCCAAGAAAGTTGCCCTCAGGCGTAGGGTTCCAGCGCTTCCTGGTGGTCAAGGGTGGGGGCCACTCCCGAGCAGCCTGGCAGTGGGGTGCTTTCCTTTGCAGACCTCACCCAAAGCCAACGCTTGTTCCGCACGCACCCCGATAACGCTCGCACACCATGTTCTCCCACTTCCATCTCACGTGGCTATGGAAGGAGAGAGAGAGAAACTGGGAGCGGGACGTCACGTGGATGAGCGAATGAGCTGTTCACACTGTTCTGTGGAAAGAACCCTGGATTGAAACCTGCAAAGCCACTCAATCACACACTTATTTTTCTAAGGGCAGGGGGCGGGGTGGAGTGGTGGGATGGAGAGAACTTTCCTGAAAGGACTTGGCCTTGAAACGTGAAGTCAAACAACTGGATTTGGCAGGCTGACAGCTCCCGGGCCCCGCCAGCCTGAAGAACTGCCAGCCTGGCGTCCAGGGCGAGCTGAGAAATAATGAACTCATTCAGAGCTGCGCAGGGCTGGAGAGCGGGGCTGCACACAGGGGGCCTTCCAGCCAGAGGGGCCGCGGCACCAGGGACTCTGCAGGCCTGAGCAAGAGCCGACCTCACCCCTGGAGAGTTGGGAAAGGCGGGTCCGCCCGGGATGGACGAGAAAAGCTCTTGCCTGAGTCTCTAATGCGGCAAGGAAGTCCCAGAGAATGGGAGTGAAGGAGGCCAATCTCAGATGGGTGGTGAAAGCCGGGGGCGGGGGAGCCCTGCCCACCAGAACCTGTGCACTGAACCTGGCCCTGCTCTCCTGGCAATGGTCCCACTCCTCCTGGCTCATTTTGCTGAGCCTGCATGGCCACCTCCAGGACCTTCTCCTGGGTGGCATCCCGCTGTGGGCCTGCGGGGTTGTCAGCTGCATCTCAGCAACTCCATGGCTGAGCCTATATCAGCTTTATTTATTTTTTATTTATTTTTTTTGAGATGGAGTCTTGTTCCATCATCCAGGCTGGAGTGCAGTGGCACAATCTCAGCTCACAGCAACCTCCCTCTCCCTGGTTCTAGCGAGTCTCCTGCCTCAGCCTCCCGAGTAGCTGGGACTACAGGCACACGCCACCATGCCCAGCTAATTTTTTTGTAATTTTAGTAGCGAGGGGGTTTCACAGTGTTAGCCAGGATAGTCTCGATCTCCTGACCTCATGATCCGCCGGCCTCAGTCTCCCAAAGTTCTGGGATTACAGGTGTAAGCCACTGCGCCTAGCCCATGTCAGCTTTTTAAAGCCAAGCCTTCATTTTCATTGCCTTCCAGGTGGCTCAGAAGCCTGAATGGTCACAGGGCTCCAACCAGCAGTGGAAGCTTTTGTGGCTGGAACAGATAAGGCATTAGGACCTGTGGTACATGCTCCAAGTGAGACCAAGGTCCCATGTCTCAGGCTGCGAGCATAGCCACCACCAAGGAGGTGCTATAAGCTCTGAGATGCTTTATGCAGTAAAAGGCTCCTGACATTTCTGCAGGGACTGTCCCCAAAGCTGCCTGACCTTGTAGCAGCAGGAACAGGTTCTGCTAGAGTCCCGGCAGAAGCATTGGTTCTTGAAGGTGACAGGCCAGCTTTCTCTGGGATGGTTCAAGGGAGGAGCACCATGAGATCATCCCGGAGCCCTCACAGCCTCGCTGCTGGGGACAGCCTTGATTTGTGGGCCCTCCACCAGAGCTATAAATAACCGCGCTGCGCCGGCTGTGGCTGGTCAAGAAATTGACATCTGGTTTTCCCTAACCTTTGCCCTTCCTTCCTCATTGCCAGGGCACTGTGCAGCAGGTGTGGAGGGTGGGCCATTGCCCTCTCCAGAGCCCCCTGGACCTGACTGTCAGAGGAGACAGGCAAGGCCTCGTGGGGCGGGGCGGGGGGGGGCAGGTGTCCCTTGGAAAGCAGTGTTGGGGGAGCTGTGACTACAGCTGCTGTCACCTCAGATCCTGAGGAGCTGGGACCCACCAGTATGGATATTTTTGTGCAGATATTTGTTA